TAAGAACCATTCAAGTTCATTTAACTTAATTTGAGTATGACCATATCACTGTTTAAATAAGTATGAAAACTAACAGCTTTTTTAGTCCAACGTAATAAGTTAAGTTGTAACATACTAAATGAAATGAGTCAATAAACTTACGCATTTGAGTTGCCATAACACAATTGCTTTGTGTTCTTTAAACTCTCCTCACATGATTAAATAAACTCAAATAGTTTGTTACAAAAAAACAGATTTGTGCAATTAATTTCCCCTAATCATTTGAGTTAACTTAACTTGTCAGGTTTGACAGTGTAACAAATGAAGAGTGAGGTTAAAAAGAGCCAAGGCAATTAAACTATACAAATCTATCCATAACTTATGTTTACCTGCTTTTTCTTTCAGGGTCATGGAGGTCAGCGGTGCCCATTGCAATGGCGTTACATTCGTGCCACCAGCTTGAGCMCACAATAACACTCATTTGGGAGCAGATACGAATATGAACAAACAATAATTTGAACCGTGTGCGTTCAAATCACACACTCGCTCATGCAGCTCCCTACCTGCTTGCTCAACTCTCTTCCTGCTTGTGCTCAACTCTTTCCCGTCCTCCTCTCAACTTTCCCTCTGCTTGCTTGCAGCTCTCTCTCTGCACTTGAAACCCAAGTTTTATGTAAATGATCCACAACACCAACCAATCACAGACAGGGTTTTTCTTCATCCAATAAAAGCACTTCTTGCAAGTCTACTAAASCAAAAGGCGGAACGAGCAGAGGGGAAGTTGAGAGGAGGGAGGGAATCACACGAGCAGAGGAAAAGTTGAYGAGAGGAGAATGTGTAGCGCTGAGCTAATACATACATATGGTGATAGCGTCAGGGCTAATGCTAAAGCTAACAGGATAAGCTGGGGTTCTTCTTCCATGAAGCAGCTCTGTTGTCCTCCATCCATATTTTCAGTTACAGGCTGAGTCATTTCTACCTTCTTCTTTCTGTCAACGCTCTCTGGTTTCATTTAAAAGAGACAATCGTCAGATATTGTCCAAGATTAACCTTCAGGGTGGATATAGCTCACTAGCAGCCTCACACCAAGAACCTATCATCATTTACCCAGAATGCTTTGCGTTTAAATAAAATGGCCCTGTCCGTGTAACATATTTTTAAACTTATAGTTTCAAAATTATAAAAACTAAACAGCCTATGACATTTTTACAGTCTTTATTTTACAGTTAAAATAAATGTTTATCAAAGAAAGTCTAATGTTACAACTAATCATGGATCCCTTTAACAGCTAAAAAAGTGGATTTTGCAYATATCCTGGTTAAGTTCAGCTCAAGTTCAAAGTTCACACAAAATGTGGGTGCCACTCATGAACATGCTCATTTGAATGTATTTGTGGACAACACTGGACACAACTCATGTTACACTATCTAGTCTTGAGTAATGGTGTTAAAACATCAATATGTTCATTTGTAACATTATTCAGGACTCATAGGGTTGAGGCCTCTACCAAAGGATGTTAAACTGGGCAGGATGTCCCTAAAGACAGACAGCCAAACCACTTTGTGGCATATTTAAATGAAAACAAATTGGGATTGTTTTCATTTGTGGTAACCTTATCTGGCCATTTAACTGAATGTGGCTCCTGTAGAGCAAAGCCTGGGAKATTTGTATCAATATCCAGTTTTAAAATTAAATAAACAGACAAAGTTTCCTTTGTCTCTTTCAAAGGGAATCTATATGGATGTCGGTTAAAAAAATCAATGTCTCAAAATAACCCGAGAAGAGCACCACTGGAGATAAAAGGTGTCAACTTAAAGGCCAGCTGTATTAACTGCACCACTTTGGAATCTTCTTACCAGCTCCATTAAGCCCGCAGATTTAATTCCACCTCTCGTACATCCCAAGGTCACCTGTGACATTTGCCCTGGAAATATGTAGCCGATTTTACAGATAGGTCACGCTGAGAAGGTTTGTCTCCTTTGCCCGCATGTTCTTCCTGCACAGACAAAAGGAGGAGAAGTAGTCATGGGCGATTGGTTTGGTAATTTCCAGTGAGGATTGCAACGAAGAACAAAGTGGGTTCGAAATATCATCTGTCATATTCTGCGATTGCATGGCTAGAGCTGCCCTTACTTTTTTTTTYCTTCTTCATCTTAGTCTTTAACACTCACGTTCTTTAACTTCTCTTTCTCTGTTCCACACAAGCAGAACTTCAAACTCCCTTTCAAGTGCCAGGCTGTTTAAAAGTCAGGGGAAGGTTGTTGTGCAGTGCGTCACAGTTCTTTTTAAAAGGCTGCCAGTCATGTAAACCTTGCAACTGAAATCTTCTCAGTCATTGATTGCATCAGGAAAACATAAGCTGTGAGCCAAAAAAAAAAAAAAAAAAAAAAAATCAGGCGCACGTCTCCTTAAAAGGTCTAAGTAATTTTTATATCCTGACAGGCTACATATACTTGTTGCTTTTAAACAGCGGTTCAATACGTTTCTCCAATCAATTTCTTTTGTTTGAARGATCTGAAGGAAATGATTGAGGCTTTTCTAGGGACTTAACATAAAGCCTTCACTATCCCAGCTGAAGCAGATTTTGATTTGCTTTTGGAAAAGATACAGGATCAAAACACATTTAGTCTGGTTTAATCAGATACATCAGAATAAATAAAAGCACAGTGTTTGAAGTTGTAGCCCTACGGTAGGTTGAAAGATTTGTTTCGACACATCCTTTTTTTTAATTCAAATTCATTACATTTTAACATCTTGATTTGTTTTGATGTTTTTGTTTTGCAGGTTGCCTTTTGACAGAGCTCAAACATCTTATAGGATTGAACTTTTATGAGGTTGGAACTTTAGTGGGCCTTAGTCAGCTGGAATATTTTTATGACWTTTTCCTCAGAGGACGATGAAAAGTCCTGTAGCAATAGGCAGAGCTTTGTGACTGATCCACTTTCTTAAAGCAAAGACTGTAAATCTGTTTAGATATTGCTGGAGCAAAAACATCTAAACACAGTGGGATTTATAGATAAAGAAGTTATAGTCCCACACATGTATCAGGTCCTGTGAAGTCACAAACAACTTTTAATGCACTGATATATTTTCTTTCCTTTACAAAAAAACACATCAATATCAGTCCATTGTTGCAGGTGAATAGATTTTATTCTGCTAATGACAAGTTAAGTTTGGCTACCTTTCCATGTATGAAACCCACATACTCAGCTCTGCTCATTCCACAAATGCATGCTCCTTACAAATGTGGCACCATTTAAAGGAGAAATTAACAGGCTTTCCAACGGTATAAGATTTATTGCCAATAAACTTTGTTACAMCAAATATATAATCTATCGAACACAAATGTCCTTACTTTTTGTACAAAGTTTTCATATACATCATCACTTTTATTATTCAGACATGCATAGAAGCAGAAAACAACAAAAACACAGTTAAAACACATTTTTATAGGCTCAACTGCGTCTGAGTCTATAAAGTAAAATATAATACATTTAAACTTTACTTTTAGTGCTTTTGAAATAAAAGAAATTCCCAAGTTCATTCCGCAATACACGTGTACTTTGTATTGTGGAAATTTGTGTGCCATTTTCAAAGGTTGTAAATACCTCAAAATAAGCTGTAAAACCTTGATACCAAAGTACAAAAAAATTAAGTGAAAAACATATATTAAAAATGTATACCAGCAGCTCTTTCATCACCCTGGACTTTCGGACTATTGAATTTTGGCAGTTCTTTGAAAATGAACTTCAAAGCTTTCCTGAACTCTAACACGAGAACGAAGATGAGTGTCACTCCAGTCATCATTCAGAACAAGGAGTTTTATTCCCCCAAATCCAATTCCAAATCCAACCCAATTCTACTACTTTATTTATTGAGCACAATCTGCTTTGCCTCAAATTCTGCTTAACCAGTAAAATGTCAGATTTAACAGACTTGACTTAACTTTTCACAATATATACTGTATTTGCTTGAGGCCAAAGCAATTCATTTTCTAGTTTTTTAATAGTTTTTGCTTTATTGGAAACAAAATCCTTTTAAAAGAATTAGACTTTGAGGCTTTTGCATGTTTAACCATTCAAGTGTGTTTAAAAGAAATGCTATTAACCACAATAATATGGTTCTTGACCTGAAAAAAAAATAGCTGAAAAATCACATGCTGTTGCTAAAGCTTAGTTAAACTTCAAACGTGTCATTTTGTTTTACTTTTTTAATGAGAAAAGGCCCAGTGTGATATTTCAGTTCTTTAAAAAGATTGTTCTACAGAGGCCATAACTTTGAAAAGATTAGTTTTCTGGTATTATGACATTAGGAAAGTATGCTCAGAGAGCCAATAATACAACTCATGTCACAAGATCCATTCATTCCCTTTTTTAAACCTTCGTTATTCTTTCACAGTTTTTCAGGGAGCTGCAGTTTATCCCAGCTGCCACATGGCGAAAGGTTTATTAAAACCTGAACAGATATTGGGCTGCACCTTCAGAGTCCATTCTGCATCCCTTCAGTCGACCTGAGTGATCTGTCGCTWTTTGATTTAACATGACTCTCATGTAGACTGAGCTTCCTCATATCTCTGTACCTGTTTAATCAATTTTTATTCCCAYAATGTTCAATACCACTACTCTTCAAATTCCACTGTGTCTAAGACATTCATAAGGTATCCATTGAAACTTGAAACATTGATTCTTCTCTAACAGAGAAAAAAACAATGATTGATAACTGAGGAACTTAAAATTAAAGAACTTTCTTTAATATGGGGATTGATTATGGTAGTTTCAAAAAGCTTCACAATGTTTACCACATGCTAATGCAGTTTTATTGTTTACTTGTTACCATACCATACCACTTTTATTTATAAAGCACTTTAAACAGCACAAGACCAAAGTGCTGTACAGTAGACAGACACAACAGGACATAGTTAGAATTACAGTTAAAATACAGTCAAAAACACAATGAAAGATTACATTAAAGTCATGATTATTTTTCACCTGAAAGGATCCCGAMAATGCATCTAAAGATCTTTTAAAAAGTGGTAATTTGTAGTATGGGGATCTATTTAAATATCAATTTATTGATACTAATGTTATTGTGTCAAATAAATATTAAAGGAAAAGATTCATACATTACTTCATTTCAATCCTGCAAATTTATTTTACCGGTACAGGAACAACATATGCCATAGTTATCATCAGGCCCATGCCTCTCTTGAAAAAGAGATCTGCAAGCTCAATGGGATGTGCCTGGTTAAACAATGGTTAAATAAAAATAAAAATCAGCAGCCTAGAGCACCATCTAACAGCTGGGGACGGTAATATTTAATCCTTGGTTCATGTCAGTCAGTTTGGACTAACATTTAACACATCAGTCAAATAAATGTTACCATCAGTGAAAAACTATATATAAGTCACACCAGACTTGAAGTCACAGGACCAGCCAAACTACGAATAAAGTGTGACTTATGGTCTGGAAAACACAAAACATCATTTTTATTAGCTAAAAACCTTACTCTATCCTGTGTTTCAAAGGACCGTATTCAGCTAAGTAACTTTGAAAAGCAAATATTAGTTATGAAAAAGTATTCAGAGTTGGTGTACTGATGATTAAACATGTCTAAATACTAAGATATTACATTACTATCATTGGTACTGGCCCAAGATTTACAAAGTATAACAGTAATTATTCTGCACCACTCATGTTTTTGTATGTACTTAAACTACATGTTTGCACTCTCATAACACACGCTCAACATTTTTAGTAAGATTGTATAACACATCTATACGCTTTGGTTTGTAGATTATTTTCTCAGTCAGTAGTTCATCTTTTGKTTTTGTCTGTTTACTAGTCTAAATTTTACTGCTGAGTGTTGTCACATCTAACATGCTGCTGGAATTTCTCTTAGGATCAATAAATAAGTCATTAAATTGTCAATTATTTTTATGGACAGCTGTGGGACTCAGTTGTTTTGTATTTATTGTAACTGTGTAATTAATATTTGTTCAAAGGAAAGTTTAATCACCTACAGTAGGGCCATTCAACTGGTGGCCCATGGGAATGACTTCCATCCGGCCTGCCAATGCGCCAATATAATATAAAAACACATTTTAAATACATGTAAATGTATGATTCAATGCAACAAAGTAAAGTAATTTCAAAGGTAAAGGATAACAATACTCATTCTGTTACATACTGCAGTGTTTCACCTACCATTAATGGGCACCGCCCCTCACACCCCCACCCACCCAACCTGCGGGAATGTCTGGCCCCTGGGCTGTTGGCTTTGAGTAACTGTGGCTCCCTGAGCAATTTAGGYGAATAACTCTGAACTTCAAGAATATTTTAGATGCCAAAACCGTTCTTTCACAAGCTGGAAACTGTGGTATTTCTGTTTAAAACTTTTATTTTAACTMGCATGAAGGAAGGATTAAATTTGGGATCACACACCTTATTCAAGGAATTGCAGTTGCTGGTATTGGCTTTATTTTTCAGCYCCTCAGGTGGCTCCTTGGATTGAAACTCCACACTGCACGCTCCCCCATGAAGACTCTCTAAATACCCCAAAGACCATTGAGGATCTTGCTGAGTTTTCAGAAGAGTAGCACTCGAGCCAGCTCACAGTRTCACAGTCCTTTTAATAAAACTGTTTCCTTTGTTCGCTGTCCTTCTCGTCTTATTTTACCTCAATGTTTCTCTTTTTCCACAATATGTTTTGTAAAAATGTAGCTTTTTTGTGTGCAGAGCAAGTGGTGGGGTCACTGTTGTATAATAACTATCAGGATGCGTGTTTGTTTTAGAGAATGGCACTGTGGCATGTTCTGAGGCCACGTTAAAGGGCAGTGGTTGGTGAACATAACGTGATCCATCATGCAGTCTGAGTGAGGCTAACCTTTGCTTGTCCTTATTGATTCACCTCACCAATGAATCTACAATAATATGGATTGTGGACCTTGTTGAAGCAGTGCTTTTTTCCCACCAATTGAGTGTCTTACTTATGACAGAAATTGCCAAGTGACAGTTTTTATTAATGTTTCGTCTGCTGGTAAAACACGTTATTCTTTCTTCTTAGTGGTGGAAAAGGAGACAGAAAGAACAGGCCACACTTCTTCTGTGTGAGGTGAAACATATGGTGCATTTTTAGACCAATGAACAGCTGCCTGCACTGATAGCTGTCAGTCTTTACGGCCTTATGTGTCTCAGCGGAGTCAAAAGATCTTGGTATCTCATGTTAGCAGCAGCTATTTTTTTATGTCGTCTCTCACCCGTGACAAAACAGTCTCTACACCAGCTTGATACATTTGAGTGCGTAGGCATTTTTTGGCTGCAGGCTATGAATAGTGTGCTGTAATGAGATTAAAATGCTCAAGTGACAGGTCCCCATTTGCCCAGAAATCAGTATGAAATGGTTTTGTGTTGTGATATGATTTTCCTGTTTTCACTCATTCTAGCTTGGTTGTACAAAAGGGGAAAAGAAGGGTGCTGTGTATAGAAGCGTGAAGACGTGAGGTACATTATTTCTCACAGCCTATGGATGACAATAAAATACCTGTACCCAAAGAACAAATTAAAATACGCCATCAACTTTCAGTGCGCCTTAAAGCTCTTTCTGGATGTCGTTTGGTGACAAGAAAAACACGCCCCGTTTCCTGTACTTCTTTCAAAGCACCGCCAAAATATGCGGCAGTTTGTTAGATTAATGTTATTAGTTCTAGTACTTAGTATAACGAGTTAGGATGACACTGGAGAGAATCTGTAATCCAGTTTAACAGGCAGTCTAAAACCGGAACTTTTAATCTCCTGTGTTTCAATCTGCCCTTCCCTCCCGCTTTAATCTCATCTCTTCCAGCAGGATTGCACGCCACAGAGGAGGCTTCAATGCTGCTCCAAGGAACGGGGTTAATCTGAGCAGGGGCCGCCCAAGATGGCTGCTCTGGTCTTAGGCCAGCTGTGTGAGCTAGCACCCCTCTGAAGTCAGTAGGCTCGCTGTAAAAGCCTGCTGTGGTAGACAGTGACACAGTGATGGGCGAAGAGGGAGAGAAAGAACGACAAAGAGGTGGGAATGGGTAGTCAAACAAATAAAGGCACTGTTAATGGAAGGCAGCATCGTAGTGGAGTAAATGAGAAATGTGAATTTTAATCAATACGCTGGTGGACGTAGTTTTTAATCATAAATATATATTATTGAGTAGTCACAGGGCATATCAGCCTTACACTGGTATAGTTTAGCTCTGACTATTGACTATAGGCAAAGACTAAAGGGTATAAAAATGTCTACTTTCAAAGGTTGTTGTTATTTTACCTGTGAAGCCAACACAACTCAAGTCCATCAGTCAACAATCTATTCACCTGTTTGCAAATCTGAAATATTTAGTGCCATTTAGGTTTTTAGTGCTGCATTTCAGCTGTTAATTAATCCTTGGTCAGCTTTTCATTGGTGCTCTGCCAATGCTGCCATTTTAATCATGTTTTTTTTTTCTCTTTGACCTGTCAGCCTGCAGCTGGAAGCCTTCTTTTCACTGCTGAAAAAAAAAGTGCTTATTTGGCAACATCAAGGCTATGCTTGAAGCTATTGTTCAGAGCCTGCCATGCAAGCTGTTGACTCTCAGAACCTTATCATCTGATTCAGTGGTGGCTTTCCTTCTGCCAAACCTTTTTCYTGTCAACGTTATCGTCACCTTTTGCTGGTGTGGTGAACTACTCACAGCATGGCTTTTTAAACTGTCTTTTCAGCAGGATGTTATGGTMTTTTAAATGTCCTTTGTTTTCAAGTGCATTTTTAATTAGACTGTTTTTACCTTTACACTGTAATGCTCCATACCTGTGTGAATTTCTGTGTAAAAACACCTTCAGGCTCAGACCTTGAAGGTTTCCTTCCATCRAATTGGTTGATGTGACACCTTCCCACAAGGCTGTGTAGTTTTATTCATTTCTCATAACTTTCATCTACAAATGTGAAAACTAAYAAACAGTAACTGCAAAGGTAAAACCCATCATTTCAAATGAAAATTACTTTCACGGCTGCATAAAAGTTCTTTCTTGATTGCATGTCTTTTGCAAGTTTTGAAAAAAATTTTTTTACATTTCTCATATTTCATTTTTTAAAATGTGTTCATTAGTGTAATGTGTCCTATTGAACAACAGAAAATCTGAAACAAAAATCAGCTGCAGAAAGTTTTTAGTAAGAGATCTGGGAAAGGGKATTAAACTTAGAATCTGGGCTTTGTTTAAAAATGCTCTTTCTGCTCAGCATTTGATTCAAGGCTTTGATTCAAGTGTCCCTTCAGCACAGCATAATGACTTGGCCTGTCACGATAACAAATTTTGCCAGATGATAAATTGTCTCAGAAATTATTGCGATAAACGATAACATTGTTTGGGGACCATATTAAAAAATTTTACAAACTGACTGGGAAAACAACACTCAACAACTACTGAAGCTGTAATACTGCCTCCCACCTCCTCCAGCCAAGCCAATTGAATCTATTAATAGTCAGTTACAAGCAGATCTTAAGACATTTCATGGTTGGCTTCAAGATAATCTTTTATCAATTAATGTTAAAAAAAACTGTGTGCATGTATTTTTCCTCACCCAGRAGACATTTCAATATAACAAATCAACTCACTTTTTTAAACAAACTCCTTGATATTGTCACTACCTACAAATATCTTGGAATTACTTTGGATTATCATTTGACTTATYGTGATCATGTACAAGTCTTAACCACTAAGTTGAAACAGAAATTATATGTTTATTCAAAAATTAGATCCAATCTGACATCTTCTGTTTCAAACATCTATCTTCATGCCATTATACTCTCAACCATGTCGTACTGTTTACCTGTTTGGTCTCTTACAACAAATGAAATCTTAGAACCCATAGTTAGGCTCTACAACAGGGCCTACAAAATTGATAAAAAACTTCCTGGTTGGACTCATCACTGTACAGTTCTTTCATTGTCTGATGCCTTGACTTTTCAGAATTATGTTTTGTATAGTGGTATTAATTTATATTTTCAGATCTTCCAAGGTGCCATTTATGGAACTCTCTGTGCATTGCTGCCCAAATCAAATTCTGGAAGTGGTCATTCAACTAGATCTGTTACAAAAGGACAGTTGATATTACCAACTTTTAAAAACTGTTATGGCCAGAGGTCTTTCTTCTATGTTTATACTAAAGCACGGAATGACATTCCTCAAAACATAAAGTCCATTTCAAAACTACAGCTCTTTAAGAAGAATCTTGTCTGCCATCTGCTGGACACTTTTTGTTGTGCTCATTTTTGGGCGTCCTATTTTGCAAATGCTGCCTTCGTGAAATTTGGTATGCTTGTTTGTCTTTGCGTCTATGGTGTATAATGATGTGATTGTGATGCTGTATTTCTGAGTGTTTTATGTGCTGCAGAACAGGAACCTGCTGTAAAACAGCAATTATGCTGAGTCAGGCTTGATTTTTAGTAATCTTTTCCTGTTAAATCAATAAATCAAATCAAATCAAATCAAATCAAGCCTCCATCTCTTTAAGAATCTCCTATCATTTCAGACACTGCCACTTCAGCACGTCTTCACAACAGGGGTGCTCAGTGGGGGTGGAGCTCGGCTGCAGACTGAGCTCCAGGGAAGAGCTTTGTGTAAATRGGCGATGCTTTGTAGCAGCAATGCAGCTCCACATGGCTACCAACGTAGAGTCAAGGATTTCTCAAACATGAACAAAGAAAAAAAAAATAGTCCATTTCGCACAATACCCGCTCCCCCTTAATCTGATGCAAAGATGGGTAACCACCTGTACTGACATACTGAAATTCATATTTACAAAATCTTACAAATGCGACTACACTTTTTGTCTCTGTGTGGAAACATTTGCACTATATATATATATATATATATTTAAAATGTTCAAAGAAAAAAAATACTAAAATAACAGAACAAAACAAAACAAGTTTTTGATTACAGGGTCATGCATTCACTTACATTCACATGCTCAAGTCCCACGTTTTTCTCCGCTCCGCTCCACTAACTTTGTTTTTCCAGAGATGTSCTGGCTTTTATTACCATATTAGTCTGCATTATGATGAAAGAGCGAGTGTGCAGACAGCTGAATGTGTGTGAGAGTGACTCGCCACAGACCTCCTGCTGCAATCTCATTGTAATACAAGAAATGCATGCTGCCTCACACTCTGCTATCTCTCTCCCTGTCTAATACACACGCACACACATATATACACAAAGGCATCTGCCCAGGCACCTGTAGAGGTTTTAAAGCTTTGCCAGCTGCCCAGCTCTCAGTTCCAACCCTTGTCACATTCTACAATAACCTCCTCATGAAGATGTGTTTAAAGATAGTTTAATGTATGCCCGAGCATACAAGTTTAGAAATCTGGACACACATTTGTGTTGCAAACAATGACAAATAAATAAAAAAATAAATAAAAATAAATAAATAAATAAATAAATATGCCTGTTGCGCAGCTCTCCATTGAGGTGGAAGTAATTAGTTGTTCTTTGGAAAGCAGGGATTGGATGTCACTGCTCCTACAGAAGCTGGGAGTAAACATTTAATCTTTGAGGCTTTAGATAGCTTTAAAAATTAAAGAGTTATTCCCATTACTCTTCTTTTGAAAGGGGAGTCTATCCTTTGGCTGTCTCTTGTGTGCTCCCACCCTCACGCTCCTGCTCTGCTATCACAAAGAGACACTCAGCCAGTGGGAGACCATGTTTGTATTCTCTATCTGTTACCGCCACAGCTACACCCCCACCCCCCACACTCCTCTGTCTGCACTACTCTATTATACCTTGTTCTGTCCTCTTCTTTCTGTGGGGAAACTTTTCTCATCTGTCTGAGACCTTCCCTACCATCTTCTCAACCCCTTAACCTCCCCATGTCTCTTTTCTTTCTGTCTCTCTCACACGTGCTCCGCTCAGCCAGTGTTTCACTTTGTGTTTAGATCTCCAGAATTCAATTTCTTATTCTTTTTGTAAATTTATTTTTTTCACAACTTTTTATTTTCACTATAAAAGCTCAGCATAGAATTTGGCTGTAGTTCAAGATATCCTGATGACATTTAGTAAACATGTATGCAGTACCTGTTTAGTAAATGGTGTTGTAGGAATTATTCATCACCTGCTGCTGTAAACAGTCATTAGATGTACATCAACAGCAGTAACAAAGTAAATGTACTTGAGTACTGYACTTAAGTATAGTTTTTTGAGAATYTGTACTTCAGTAGCATTTTCTTTGTAAACTTTTTTACTTTTACTCCAATACATTTTAATGATAAAGTCATAGTTTTTACTCCCTTACATTTCTCTAAAGCAGGACTATTCAACTGGCCCGCTGGTGACCAAAATTTGGCCCGCCAATTAGTTAATTAATTTCTGAAGCCCAAACTCCTGGTGTTCTACTTCAATTCCTAAGTTTTTTTTATTTTATTTTTTTTAGTTAGACATAGACGTGTTGTATTT